TTGATTGTGTTGTTCCGCTTATTCTCGTGCCTCGCTTCTTCATACTCGGCTCGTCCTTACTTGCGACACAGTGGACGTCATACGACAGAAAGGATCCAAGGAAGAATCCGGCTGCTACCAAATATTTGCTATCCACGTTTTGCGCCATTAAATATCACCTTTTTGATATTCTTGGTATGTAAAGAACAGCGTGTGTATTCGTATGTACTGTACTATTTTATTGCAGTATTTGGTGAAGACTACTTTTTGTCAAAATATTTAATTCAATCCAGTGTTATACGATAGTATTTTATTTGTTGTTCTTGAGCAGTGTGAATGATACGTTTTTGGAAACAAAATATCATCAAATCATAGTGATTGGTGTACTTTTAATTATTTTCAATTTCATGTTTGTATTAACTTTTTCGTAGATGTGGAAGTAGGAGTTCTTAGTTCCTGTAGAGGTGCGAATCTAGACATTCGATTTGGGGGGAGGCACATTCGTTCAAAAAAGGGCAACAAAAGGTTCTTGATTTTTTAATACAGTTGAAAGACCTCGGTGTGAATTTGACAAGTAGGAGTGCTTGAGGAATGAAATATTTTGAGATAAATCGAGATTCTTGAGATATTCCGTGCAATTAGAGTATTTTCAACACGTGAACATTCTGAACAGTTCTCAATAATCTAACCGGGCACGATTTTCATCATTTTTGGCTTTTGGCGAAGTTGTCATGATCCTGTGGCACGCCCCTTTCGATTCGCACATGGGCCCATGAAACGCTTCTCGGTGGCACGTAATCGTTAGTTGCACGTTTCCAATATTCGATAGGAAGCGATCGACGATATTTATCAGTATTTAATGACTAAAAATTCGTAAATTGCTTGTACATCTTGTGTTCAATAAATCTTAGCGTGATGCACCAATTGACAACTGACTTCAAAGAGAGAAGAATTAATTATCATGTGAATGTTTCTGCTTACATATCAGAGAAATTTCTCGATATGTGTGAAATTTAAAAATATGTGTATTTGTTTCACCTGAAAGTGATATCGACATCGAACAAAACCCACGAATAATACTGTTTAATTAAACATATGTTGTATGATAACGGTAAGACAACAAACAAAACTCTTCAAAATGTCTTTCTGTTGGCAACACGAGATTCATCATAGTAAAATATTTTTAAATTATTTATTAAAAGCAATCGATTGGAACTGAAGAAAAAAGAAAAAGATCTATTCCATGTTGATGCACAAGTGTTATAACAATAATTTATTGTTATTAATGTTATTATTTCACGAAACATTACTAAAAAAGGTAATGGAAAAATTATTCAATTATCTAGCACTAGCTAATTTGCTAGCTTTTCACATTCAGAAAGGTTTTGTGCAGTCGATAAATGACTAGCAAATTACGATTGTTAATTTTTTAGTAAAATTAATTTATCCCTATTGAATCGACCTGTTTACGCTCGTTCTTGAATTTTCAAATTTGCAATGTCACGCAGACGTGTTAACGGCTGACGGAGAGAATCGTCGATAAATGATATGCCCTGTACAATGTTGTTGTTGTTATTACTATTATTATTATTATTATTATTAGTATTATTTTGTTCTTGATTTTTTGCATAACTTTCATTTTTAGGAGCAAAGAAAGAAAGATTACTTTGCACGACGTAGGGAGTTCAAAGTCCATTTCGTCTCAATTAATTTGCGCGGTGTAACGGTTAGCGTGTCGGACTGTTGTACCCCAGTTGACGGGTTCAAACCCGATCCAAGCCGTGGACCTTTAAGGGCGAAGAAATCCTCCGTACGCCTTCCTTCGGAGGGGAAGTAAAGCCGGCTGGCCCATGTTAGTAAATTTACTTGCATGTGAAAGATCCTCAAGCCTAAATGACGCCTCTGAGCTAAATTCAAATTGCCTGTTTCTCGCCCAAGAAATACCTCTTTTCTCCGCTAGTTGGTGAAAGGAACGTAGCGAAATTTGCGTGGTCAGACGGAAGAACAGGCCTCATGGCCTGAGTCTCGCCACGCAATTCAATTGAATCATAATTTGCCAATTAATGTTGATGTTTCAAAGACGAATGCGCACGCGACTGGGCCCTCGAGAGGCGCGCCACCAGTCCGCCCTCCCACGCCCTCGCTCCCTCGTCGTATCGGTCGCCTCATCACGCGCCACTGCGACGCGCTTCCTCGCGGAGGCGGAGGCGGCGCGCGCCATCACGGCCAGCGCGGCCGTGATGGCACTGAGAAACGCGGAATGTAGCGACATGTTGATTATGCCGACGAAGACGATGGATGCCTTCATTGCGAGGGTGGGGACAGTTTTACGCATTTTACGTGACTGATTGTGACCGTGATGACTGATTGTGTTGAGAAGAGTTGTACTCGTGATAAATGGTTGTGTTCGTGACGGTTGCAAGCGTATTGGCTTATTATGCTCGTAATGCCTGCAAGAGATGACTGGCCGAGTGATGTCATTGTGCTCGGAACTCTTCTTCAGTATTTCAGCGGTGACCGATTTGACTGATTGCACCCGCCCGCGCTGATTTAACATCTGTTTTGACTTATTACCCAGTTGACTTATTATCATGACTCCTCTTGTCTGTTCGGTATGTCTTCTATGGTCGGATCTCATAGTGAATGGTAGAGGCGATACCGAACGTGACGAGTTCTCTCATTCTCCAAGTCCCTACTGTCAGTGAAGGCATCGGCTCTCAAAGAGCTGTAAACCTGATCAAACTGGTGACGCCTCTTCCTCCCATGCTGTGATAACAACTTCGCGCGTGACGCTGCAAGAAAAAAAGAATGGCAACATGCAGAATCGACGACGACGGCGGCGGTGAGAACTGCACGCGCTGTTTGGGATCGGGAGGAGGTATCGACGCAGGCTGGCGTTGGCGATGCTCGAAACTACGACTGCAGATACCCAATTACTGCTGAGTGATGAACCTGATACGATGATGTCAGCATTGGCGATAGGAACAGAAACAATGACGTTAGCATTGCTTCGAGATTGCGATAACGATGGAACGTGACGAATCGTGAAAAGATAACGATGGCAATATTGATCTAGAATTTTTTTATTGTGTAAATACAGTGCAATCATTTATAACTGTGCCGGTCGCACGAGGATTTGACCTCGGCGAACAAGGCCACGGAGGCGGCGGAAATGGAGTTAGGGCGGTCGGTGGAATTGCAGAAGACAGAAGGTGGTTTTCGCTGCGGGAAAGTGTAAATTGTACCCACGTTATTCTAGCTGCTGGAACTATCGACTTTGATGCATTCTTGACATTTCCTAAACAAGTTCTGCTTCATTCTGGTGCACGATTCTTTTGTACGGCTTAATCTCCAAAACTGTTGTGGGCTTCCTTGCACTCTTTACCGAAATACAGTCTGTTGAATAAGACGTGACAAGGTTTTGAGAGCAGCTTGTACCTGTCGCATTTGAATGTCACTCTGTTTCTCTTCAGTTCATACGTAGTGCTTACGTACTGATGTTTTGTCCACTAGTGTTGCTTGCTCCCTTCATTTTTTCGAAAGCTTTTCATTTGTATTCCGATGTCTGATTTCCCGAGACTCCCTAATCAATTTCCACCCACACTTTCTCGCGGATTTGCATTTTGCATATGTGTCATACACAAAAACTTTTGGTTTGAAAATGAACTTCTAGCGAGCTATCACAAAACAACTACTCAACACCACTGGAAAAATAGTCTTTTGTAGGGCGAGACTTGAAACCGTCCCGTCCGCAACGCGAGTGACGGCCGAGCAGAACTTTTTGCGATGGTAACACACTAATAAAATAGTCGCTCTGGAGAATCGGCATTGACACCCACCCACCATCAGGAAATAGATTTGGAAAGGATTTGGAAACACTTTAAATAATCAGCAAAAATGGAAAGGGCTGGACGGAATAAAATGGCAAAACATACAAAATTAACGGGAAACATCTGGGTTTTCCCTCCGATGGCGCTCACCCCTCTCTTTCTCGCGTCATACATGCCCAGATTGTGTATCGCCGCGCATCCTATCGTCACATGCCACTCTTGCCTTCAGTAACTTGGAATCCGTTCATATCAGGTTGTGTGGACACATACGCAGCAAGTTCGAACATTTTCACATCTTTTACACTTTCATTTCGCCTCATTCATCTCACTACAAAGGCTGTCCTAAGGGGGGTCCAGAGAGAAAAGTGTGACTGTTCCCCAAAAAATATTAGAAATAAATGAATATAATGTACTCCAATACGAAATAAGATTTGTGAATATATTTTAATTATTTACAGTGAACCTATTTAAAAATATTTAAACGCTTATCTGGGATTTAAAATCAAATTGGGGGAAACACCTCTGGGACATGGGTTCGATATCAGACAATCCATGTGGAATTTGTGATTCACAAAGAGAGCTCGCGGTTTTCATGAACTTCTCCCATTTTCTCTGCCATTCATGATCCCATTGCTGCATTATCATCCACCTCATCGTTGTTGTCAAGAGGTCACTCGTGTACATC